AATAATCCTTTGGTCTGAAACCTTAATTCGGGATCCTTGCGCATCTCGCAAAACTACCTTGGTAGTGTTGGGTGCTTTCCTTCCGTACTTCTTCATCCACATTGGTGCCAACGAAATGTCGGCTCCTGAATCCAGCACAACCTCGATCTCTCGAGTTCTCGCGTTCCTCGCTGCACGCGCAAACCTGGTAATGGTCCTTGAGGGTGCTGTTCTCTCTACTCTGTTCCTTCTAGGAGGATGGTGACATCCGTTCTCACATTCCTGCATGTCTGGGTGCCACGGTGTTTCATGACATCCATTGGGACACTCAAAGTAGTATCCACGGTCCTGAGTTCCTATCGGAGTTCCTTCTAGGTGCCATTGCAACCATGCATCATCACTCACCTCATCACAGTCCTGAAACTCATCATCTTCATCACCAATCCAAAACTCTTCTGTCTCACTTCTCTCTTCCTGAACTTCTTCACCAACAACCCGCAAAACTCTTCCGAAGTACTCAATCTCTATCTCATCAGAGTTCTCACTCATCTCGAATTCCTCCGGAAAGCTTGTGGGCTCGTCTCCCATGTGGTACATGGAGACCATCCTAATCACTGGTCTTTGGGTTCCTTGGCTTGCTTGGCTTTGGCTTGTTGAGGTCTTGTTGGCTGACGAAGGGGCCTGAGTCGAAGTACCTGTAGTGCTCGCTTGCTCGCTCTGGTTTTCAAGGTCAACGTTCCTTGCCTGATAACCCATGTCACGCATCTTCTGCCTACACTGTGCTTCGAAATGTCCATACTTATGGCAGTAGTGACACACTCCTGTAGCTGCTTGGGCTTTTCCTTTACCTTTTCCCTTGTGTCTGAAGAAACCTCTTCCTCGACCTTTGCCTTTTCCTTTGTAACCTCTGAAACCTCTACCTCGGCCTTTCCAGTTGCCTCGACCTCTGCCTTTGCCAAAACCTCCGAAACCTTTACCTTTACCTTTGCCTTTGCTGTCAAAGCCGAAACCTTTTCCGAAGTCCTTTCCACCTTTCTTGCCTTTTCCTTTACCTTTGCCTTTATGGTGAACATAACCTTTGCCATAGCCTTTCTTTCCTTTGTACCATGCTTGGTTGATATCCATTGCTGCAAGACCACCATGGTCATCACCTTTGTCGATCAAGTCTGTTGTGGTTCGGTGAGGTGTTCCTTGCTGGGCTGCTAAAGAGTTAGTCCAACGCTCGGTTGACTCATAGTTCACAAGGTACTGACGAAGAGTATTGTACTGTGTCTTCTCATCCATGTTGAGCAACAAGTGCCTTTTCACGTCAGGTTTCATACCTTGGATAAGAGTAGATACTTTCAAATTCTCCTGTACCTTTTCTCCAGTTGCCTTCTCGTACTTCTCGATGTGTTCCTCATATTCGAGGATATTCTCAGCAATTCCTTTGTTGTGAGCAAATTTGTAGTTGAGAATGTTGTGAAACAACTCCAACGATCTCGCACGATTCGTTGGTTGATATTCCTTGAGTAGCATACGGTAAGCTTCCATACCGTTTTCCTCAGCTACATGCTTTACAACTCGGTACGGCCTTCCTTTAGTGTACGAACAAAGAACACTGTACAGGCGTCGGCTTGTTTCCTTTGCTTCTGCAGACATCTCAGCCATCTTCACTTGCTTATCATCTTTTAGGTTCCTTTCTGCGATGTCCATGATCTTCACCATGTTGGAATCCACTGCTCCAAGCCAGATCCGCATCCTGTTCCTGAACTCTGTCCATCCACTCTTCTCTTCTTGCCATGTTCCTGGGGAAAATGCTTCGGGGCTTTTAATCAGCTTGTGCAACTCCACTTCTCCAGGCTTTCTTTGTTCCTTTACTGCTTTCTCCAGAGATGCTCCTATCTCCTCAAGTGTCGTTGCTGCGTTCGTGTGGGCGTCTGCCAACGCTGTTTGTGCTGTCTTCTGTTGTTCCTGAACTGCTGTCAGGGTTTCCTGGAATGCTTGTGTGAGTCCTGCTTCTCTTTGACTTCCTGAAGCTGCTGAGTTCCTGATCTCCTCTGCTAGTGTCTGTATTCCTTGTAAGGTCTGTGCATTGATCTCGGCAAGTGCCTTCAATGCATCCTCCATTCCTTTTGCTGCTTCAAGGTTGCTGTACACTAGTGCTGCTAAAAGTAGTGACTTGCACTGTTTCCTGCTCACTGCTTGTGCTCTCCTTTCTCCTCTTGTCTTCCTTTGGTGCTTCGAGCGGTTGCTTGCTCTTGCGAAAAACAAACTAGAATAGTACGACAGGGTGATCCAAGTAATCAGTCCCATTGGGGTTCCTAAGAACACTGCTATGCGAATTCCTTGAAATACAACTCTGTTGGAAATGACTTCCTGAACTATCACATGCACGACGTCGTGAAACTTCTTTCCTACGGTTGCTAGCTTTTCTACGAAACTGTGAACATGTTCCTGTACAACTTTCCTCAGTACTTCTCGCTGTTGTTTTACTAGGTACCTAGGGGCGTAGCCTGACTCAAGGCTCTCACTCTCCTGGTTCTCGGTGTTCTGGTCGCCGTTCCTGTTCTCTTCCGTGTAGTACTCGCCGGTCACGCTAACGACGCTGTAGAGCTCGTTCATCACTTGGTTCGCGCACAACAAAGCGTACGGTACCATGACTTTTCCTATCTCCACATAGTCCTTAATCGTGTACGCGTTCGTGTTCCTGATCGTGTTCACGTTGGTGCCGTCGGGGTTCACGCTGCACTCGTTGTAGCCTTGCTGGTAGTACTCGCCGTACACGTCATAGTTCCTGTAGCGGTTCCGGTGCGTATTGGGGTGCGTATTGGGCTTCCTTCTGCTCGACCACACTGCCATGAGCTCGCTCTCGTCACTCTCAACGTACGGTAGTTCCTTTCTCCCACGGCTCGCTTCCTTGGAGGATAAGGCGTCTCCAAGGGCAAGTTCTTCCTTGGTCTCCACTTTGTTGCCAAGGGCCTGCCACGGTCTCACCGCCATACTTCCTGCTCCTGGGACCAAGATCATCCCGCACAAAGTTGCGAGGCTTCCCAGTGCGAAACCAACCAGCAGCACCATACATGCTGCCAAACCGTAGCACTTCATGTTCCTTTTCTCTTTCTCTTCCACCAACACTCGGTCGGGGTAGCAATCGCTGCAAGCGTCAAAGTCTCGCGCATTTCCTGCTGTCACGTTGTGGTTACGAAGGTGTCCACAACCTCTGCGGTGGTACTTTGTTCCTGAACGGACTGCGATCCTGAGCGTGGGCATGTTGAGCACTGTCTCTGTCTTCTTGGTGATCTGCTCATTCGCGCGCATCTGCTTCCATCCGGCAACGAGGCAAACTGCCATGGCGCCGAGCATCATGGTTCCTATGGCTACGAGTAGCATCATCGCTGCCAAGGAGGTTCCTGGAGGCAGCTCCGCTACCATGTTAAAGAACGGGCTTCACTAAGCTTCCTACTCTCAAACTGAAGCGGTCACTTTTCCTTGTGGGTCACTGTGTCCGCTGGTCTCGAGCCTTGCACGTCGCGTGTGCGTGACGGCTGTTCCTGTACATTAACTGCACTGCACTAACTGTGTTACTGTTCCTGGCAAGATGTTTAACAAGGACCCAAATGGAGACCCTACACCGGCCTTGGGGGCCATCTTGGAGGGCTGGTGGCTTGGGAGCGCTATGGGGCAGGCCAACACTTGGCAAGAATGGCTGCAGCATCCGCACACCATTCAAGAATCTCACGCAAGGTCTCGTTGACTGTCTCTATCTCTCTCTCTCTCTCTCTCTCTCTCTCTCTCTCTCTCTCTCTCTCTCTCTCTCTCTCTCTCTCTCTCTCTCTCTCTCTCTCTCTCTCTCTCTCTCTCTCTCTCTCTCTCTCTCTCTCTCTCTCTCTCTCTGCAAAGCGAACCGGCCACATTGGCAAATTAAGAAAGAAATGGTGCAAGCCACATCGGCCGATATATATATATATATATATATATCTACATACATAGAAGATGCAAGCCACTCTGGCAGTACAGATAGGGATATGTACATAAATCTGTATGTGTATGTATAAGTATAAACATGTATGTATATATATATAACATACATGCATAGCCTGTATTTATGGACATATAGTGGCCACATTGGCACTCTGTAGCAAAACTTCAGAGATGCAACATTTACACAAACATATGTATACACAGGTATATATCATATACATGTACATCTATAGAAATTTCTACACGATTGCAGAAAAAAATACCTTCATAAAACAACTGCTTATATATATATATACACATGTGTATATGCCTGCAAGCACATGTTTTCACACCGTCCAGGCATGCTCATGGCTGGTGCAGAAGCTCTTTGATTATTCTGGTGAGATCAGCATTGGAGCCTTGGTCACCATGGGTGGCTTCATGCACAGCCACCAATTGAGCTCGAAGCCAGTTTTGGAAGGACGTGGATGCTGTGGATGGCTCCATGGACACTTGGAACTCCTCCATGGTCTCGTGGGCATGGAGGAGAAAGGTCCGCACCCGGAGGCTGGCACCGAACCACATGGGCACCCACTTTGGGTTCAAGCGGAGAGGAGTGCCGGTTATGCCGGTGGTGCCGCTGGTCCTTTTGCCCGCAAAGTGGTCCTGCCTGGCCGAGCATCTGCTGGAATGGCTGCCACCTTGGCTGCACTTCCTGCAGCATTTGGTTTGGCCCAAGTTGGCAAACCGCTGGCAGCCTGGAGTTTCGCATGGCTCAGGGGCGGCTGCAGGTGCAAGCTCCATGATGGATTGCTGTGGACAGCCTCTGGCCTTGTCTGGCAAACAGCTGCTGTGCATGGACGAAGAAGAATTATACCAAACATCGCACAATTCATGCATGCTGTCCATTCATGGAAAAGCCACATGGCACACGCATGCAACAATGCACCCCTGCCCTTTCAGGAAACACCTTTGCGAACCTTTCTTCTCCAGCAAAACTCTGGCGGCTGGCTTCAAAACCCGCCATGGTCTTTGGGTCTTTAAAGTGGAGCCCGCTCCCTTGGGGCTGCAAAAGCTCTTCACTTCTTGGCCCTCTTGGAAGGAGGCTCAGACTGCTCTTTGGCCTTGGCCTTGGCCTTGGCTTTGGCTTTAGGCTCGGCCTCTGATGGCTCTGGCTCGCTGTGGTCTGCTTCGGAAGCTTCGGCATGGGCCGCCAGGAACAAAAGCGGCTGGTGCTGTTCCAGCGGAGCAGGATTCTCCAAGCATGGGATGGTAATCCCAGACTCGACGACCGTGGAGTGAACCATGGTGACCTCGGAGGTCTCGCTCGTGGGCTTGCACCAGAAATATGGAATCAAGCAAAACGCACTGTCTGCTTCGAACTGCGCATTCTGGCGGAACGGCCCAATGGTCCAGCTGTGGCCGCCGTGCTGGATGAGGAGCTTCGTTTCCTTGGCGGTCGACTTGGCTTTGTTCACCGTGCCCAGTGGAACCAAACGAATGGTTTTGCGAATTGTCTTGATGGCAAACAACCCCTGCGGGTTCTGGCCGAAAGCGATGGTCTGGGCATCCACATGGTGCTTTTCCGCCGCTCTGTGGAGAGCCAGCTGGACCTCCGACCTGGCCCGCTCCTCCAACAGAAGCTTCGCCGTCATTCCTTCCCTGGCAAGATCCTGGGGGCACAACATCGGCATCATGGCCTTGGTGGCCTTCCACATTGGCAGCTTCTGCAATGGCACATGGACTTCTTCCTCATCTTGGAAGAGTGGCTTGTGAGTCATGGTGGCATGGTCGTCCGTGACATCCGTCAGCTTGAACACCTTGGCACCGTGGTCCTTGGCGGTGTACCTCAGCACTTGGCATCAAGGAATCTATCCACATCTGCATATTCCTTGCCTATATGCTTATGTATATTCTCTTACAAGGATATTCTGGCTATACGCCAATTGCTAGCTTCCGCTCCAAGCAACAACTTGCCCAGTTCCATGTGGTTGTTTTGGAGCATGGCAATGGTCTTGTTGCTGGCCGCCAAGACATCCGTCACCTGCATGTTTGGAGTCATGCTGTGGTCCGCAATGGCATCGCCAGCCGAGCTGTCTTGGATCTCCTTGGTGTAGGCAGTCAAGATGGCTTGGAGAGATTGCCAGTGCTTGGTTTCCCGGCCTGCCCTTCGTTTGTTCGTGAGGAACAAACAAACTCTGACTGCAAATCGACCAAAGCATTTGGTTAAGTGGGACGCATGGTGGGTCTGCTCCACAAGAAGATCCTGTTGGACCTTCCAAGCCTCTTGGAGCATGTTTTCGGCTTGGGTAACTTGGTCGAGCATGCCTGGTGCCTTCAGTTTTTGGAGATCGTTGGTGGATAGGATGCGGCTGAACCCGTCTTGGGATTTTGGGCTGGTCAACATGGTAGCCCATGCCGCCACACGAAGCATGGGAAAGATGCACGTCGCTTGCTTGAAATCTAGCGACACCAGGGTGGACATCAGCTCGGTTCCCACCAGAAGTGTGGCATTAAACTGCTTCCCAAAATTGGCAAGGAAATGGAGGAGTGGAAACCCCTGGCTGCCGCCGCCGAAGTTCTGGACGAATTTGGCGATGGCGGGGACACTGGCACGGCATCTCACGTCGCCCTGGCTGGCCTGCTGGATGGCATCTGGAAGGCTCAAGCCCTTCTCAAATGCAGTGGCCACATGGAGGGCAACCTCCAACTCGTTGATGGCTTTGGATATTGAGTTGGACGAGTTGGCAGCATGCTGAATAAAGTTGGGAAGTTGTGGCATGGCTTCTTCAATGGATGCTGCCAGCACGATCCAGCACCATCCTTGCTCGATCGCTCGCCATGCTGGGTCCGACTTCGCGATGGCGACGTGATAGCCCTCTGGTCCTTGGATGCCCGCCTGGAGGCAGCGGAGAAAGGCCACACTGTGGCTCCCTGCAAGGGAGAGGAAGCCTGAGCGGCAGGGAACCAAACATCTACACAGGGCTTATATAATGGTCTATAAACACCAAACAATTTTCAAAACATTATAAGCATGCATGAGCCAGGTGCCTT